TGGAGTTTATACCTCATAAAAATACAACGGAGAGCACACGGTTCAAGTTTCGTCCGTTGATTTTTATAAAGATAAACAGATGCAACACATCCAAAGACCCGAGATGGGAGTACGAAAACCGACGGTAGGTGCACAAAGGTAGCAAGGACTTGTAAGGGAGTAAGAAAATCCAGGACTTTGGATGGTAGACGGTTGATAAGATAAGTGGAGGTCTAAAGAGCAACATCCCAAGAAGAACGGGGAACAGACGCCCCAATCAAGAGTGAGCGAGCTGTTTCTAAGAGATGACGATTTTTGCACTCAGCCACCCCGTTCTGTTGAGGAGTCTGAGGACTGGTAGTTTCGTGAAGAATTCTGTGATTAGTTAAATAATAAGAAAAATCATTATTAACATATTCACCACCATTATCAAAACGCAAAATCCGTATTTTAGTAGAAAACTGTGTCTGAACCATGGTGTGGAAGGTCTTAAAAGCTGAAAAAACATCACTTTTGTGCTTAAGAAGATATAAACATGTCATCCGTGTGCAATCATCTATAAACGTTACAAACCATCGAATACCAGATAAAGTAGTAATTGAAGATGGTCCCCAAAAACATCCGAATGAACAAGACCAAAAGGAATAACACTTTTATTAGAATTCAGCAGATAAGAAACACGGTGACTCTTGGCGAGCATGCAAGTGTCACATTTAAAGTCTGAAACTGAACAACCAACAAATAAATTCGGAAACATATGCTACAAATAATTGAAAGATGGATAACCCAAACGGTGATGCCATAACCATATCTAACGTCTCTTGTGATCAACAGCTCCTTGGGCGAGAGTGACCCTCTTGTACTGACATCATCCACAAAATAAAGATCCCCCTTCTTAGAACCATGACCAATTATCTCCTTCGTGAGAATATCCTGTATAAGACAAAACTTTGGATACATTAGCACACAACAGTTCAATTGTTCAGTAGCTTGGCTAGGAGACATCAATTTATGCTTTAGTGAAGGTACAAGTAATGTATGAGGCAAAGAGAAAGGGGGTGTGAGGCGCACGGTGCCAGTGCCAATTACCCGTGAGGTGACTCCATTAGCATTAGTAATATTACGTCAAAGTGGAATAGTATCATAAGCTAAATCAATGGGATCATAAGTCATATGGTCTGTGGCACTGGAGTCAATGATCCATCCGGATGGAGTAGCATCACTATTCATATTGAAAACATAACCATAGTTACCTGAAGATTCCAGAGACATGTCAGAAGACCTTGAAATCGAAGGAGGATCATCTTAAGATATCAAAGATAATTGGGACATAAAGGTGGCAAGATTAGGTTGCCCAAGCTTGGCTTGCTCGTCTCGTTCTAGTTGTTTCTGAAGCTTCAACGGTTCCCACCAGTCAGGATAGCCATGTAATTGGAAGTAATTATCATGGCCATGCTTCTCACTCCTGCAATAAGTACAACTACCAGCCACGACGGGTGGTTTAGGACGAGGAGGAAAGGGACCTGTGGTGGGCCGTGAGGCCGGCCTAGCAGCGAAGGGCGAGCCCTATGCTGGGCTCGGGGCAGTAGCCTGGGGTTGCAGTCCTAGGCTTGGTGTATGTGACTTATTGGGGGCACGGGGACGAGGTAGAGCTATGGCTCGTGTGGCAGGGCGAGCCACCATGGCTGCCCCACTTGGTAGCTGTCATCCGGTATTCATCACAACTTGTCGCATTCCATCCCGATGAACATAGGCAAAAGTTTGTTCGACGAAAGAAATAGGCTCAGTTCGTAGAATATCACTATGAATTTTATCAAACATCTCATCCAATCCTACAAGCAAAGTGTACACATGATCTGTTTGAACAATTTTATTAAAAATTTCAATATCAGTACCGCATTTCATCGGATTAGGTCGACGATAATCAATATCCTGCCACAAAGATTGAAGATCACTATAGTATGTCTCCACCGGTCGTCCATCTTGCCTCATGCAAGAGGCCTTGCAAGTAAGATCATAGACTTGAGATATATTGGAGCCGTCATAATACGTGCGAGCAACCACGTCCCACACTTCCTTTGCTGTCAATAGTCGAAGACAGTACCCAATCAAATTGGGTTCCATAGAGTTGATGAGCTAACCCTTCACAATAGCGTTCTCCATACGCCATTTGGTGAAGGCCGGATCGTCGCTAGGTGGTTGGGGATTACTCCCAAACAAGTAACCCAACTTGTTTTTTCCAGCAACAAACATCTCAACAATCTGAGACCAAACTCCATAATTGGCACCATTGAGTTTGATGCCAATCGAAGCAGTAGACGAATCATGATGGACAATCTTTGTAACAACTTGCGGTATAGGTAGGGTAGGATTCATGGTAGGGTCGGTAAGGGTAGTAGTGTTTAGTGTAAGAGTAGAATCGATTAGGATAAGGTTGTTTCCACCGTGGAGTGGTGGTAGGTTCTCCATGGGAGGGCTGAGTTTGCTTGAGGGAACGGGCAGAGAAGAATCCTAGGATCTCTGCTCTGATACCATGTAATTAGAGCTTATGTTTGGGGCTTAATTTTCTGATATGATTCTTCTCACCAAGGAGGAAAATATAAAATGTACAAGAGTGATTTACAAGGAAAGAAAGAAATATAAAATAACATAATTAAAATATGATTTCAAGGACTCAAATAGGTAACTAATTACAAAAGATCAACTCTCTAACAGTACCGACAGGCTTAGATTGCACATCTTTGACAAAATAAAAACTACTAAGCCTCGTAGCTTACCTAATTTTTATTTGTGGCCCAAAGGAAGCACCTACAACAGTAAATATTAGATAGCATTTAAGTCACTACCTCGTATTGGTGTGCAAAAGAAAAATTAATTCATTTCCAAAACAAACTAGACCAACTATTCGGGAGGGTTGGTTCTCATTGATTTCAGACTCGAATGGCCACCTATCAGTCCTATGCTATTAGATTTTTGTATAGGTCAAATGTATATAATAGGTATATGCACAACCACCGGTGGGGAGTTGTTAGAAAACAACCATGAACCGTTTAAACTGAAGAAGAAAACAAAATTTATTTTGTCTAATCGCAGTTGAACCGTCAGACCATTAATAAAGTATGCCTTTCATGTGATTGGTGTCGCATCTGAGTTGGGACGCTAATCAAGTCTCGATAAAAAAAAATAGTAATATTATAGAGGTTAAATTTGTAGACTAAATTTGTAAACTAAATGATATGTCAATAATAGAAAATAAATACATTTATCAAAGTTTAAGTAATAATTTACTCATCAATTTCCATTTACTTTATAAAATTTAGTCTCCCTAATATTACTCTAAAAAAATCAGAGTAATGCTAAGGAAATTAAATTTAGAAAGTAAATTTTGGAGACTAAAGAATATGTAAGTTGGTGAGTGGTTTATTACTTAAGCATTGATAGACATGCTCATTTCTATTGGTGACACATTATTTAGTTTGCAATTTTAGTCTTTAAATTTAGTCTCTCTAGCATTACTCAAAAAATTATATCCACCTAACTACATATTTTCATCTCTACAACACTTGACACCTCACAGTTCTAAAGTCTCAAATTTGAGTGTTTGACCAAAATCAGAGCCACCTCTGAGGGTGTAGAAGTGGTGTCAATGCATAGATCCCTAGTTCAAGAGGGCCCTCAATTTACAATTTTATTTTACATGTGTATGAAGTATATCTACTTAAAGGTCGAATAACTAAATTAAGTTCTTAGCATAAGTGTTCTCTCGCTTCGTATCTCTGTAGTTCTAACACGGTTCAAATACCTCTTGCAACACATTTTTTAATTTTATTTAAAGTTCTTTTGTATTTAGAGTAAATTGTGGTAATAGTCCCTCAACTTTAACTCAATTGGAGTAATTGTTCATCATCTAAAAGTCCAGTATCATTGGTCCCTCAACTCATCAAAACGAGTCACCTATCATGCACGTGAGGTTGGATCAAGAGGCAAATATGGAAAATCAAATAAGGAAAATTGTATCAATGGTCCTTCAACTTTAATCTAACTAGAGAAATAGTCCCTCAACTTTAACCCAATTGTAACAATAAATGGTAATGAATTCTTAGTTGATGGATCATTGCTCCAATTTAGTTAAAGTTGAAGGAACATTGCTAAAATTTACTCTTGTATTTAAAAGCAAGGAGTTCCACACCCAAAAAGACAGAGGATGCAGATAGGTAATTAGCCATCTCACCACACATCATTTTATTTATTTTCTTTTGTGTTAAATCAATTTATGCACAATTAAAAAATAAAAAATACAAAAAAAATACAGCAACCAAAATGTTAGATTTTATAAGGGCCTTTGTCTGAGTGTTGCACAGTGTCTCTACAACCTGGGAGTCGGGCCTGACCAGAACAATAAATTTATTTGAGGCCGTTGCTTTGATTCCATCTCCATTCCAAATTCCATTCAAGCACCTTTAACATACGAAAATTTCCAAATACTCGTAGTTGGATGTTTTGTCCTCTCTTCACAAGTGAAGGCATCGTTCGCATAATTGGGCCCACCGGAACGAGTACAACACAGGCCGATAGCATCGAGGTGGAAGACGCCAGATTAAGAAACAACTATACCTTTAAAATAAGATATATTAATGATATTATTTTTTTTTAATTATAACGCATAAAATGATACAACATAAAACTTGTTAATTTTAATTTTTCTGTTTACAAAGGAGCTCTGAATCCTCCGTTACATTAATATCAAATTCTCAGTCCCCATCACTCGTACTTCTATTCCTATTTGACGTTACAAACACGAAAGTACATTTCTTCTCCTAACCAATGAACGTCTGACACGCTAACAACCGAATGCATCGCTGACTTCTATGTCCAACGTGTCGTGTGGAGATTGCGAATAAAGAAATTCCGTGCGTAAATCTGGTCCGTTCATTATCATTATGCGTTAAAAAATATTTTGCATTTTTTATTTAAATTGAACCAAAAAAATATACAATAAAAACTAATAAAAATTAAATGCACGATTAACGAATACGATGAAGGGATCATCGAAATCCTCAAAGAGAAGATCCGAATAGGATCATCATCCCTGAGCGCGTACACTGAGACCGAGGGGTTCTACTGTGTGTACAGTAGTAGTTGTGTGGTACGAAATGCAATTAACGAGGGAAAGCTGTTTCCGGATTTGCAGTTTCAGGCCGCATTAATTCGATTCTACGCTTTCTCTCTCTCTCTCTCTCTCTCTCTCTCTAGAAATTGAAGAAACGCCAAAAGGTTGGAAAGAAAACACACAGCAAGTTTCGCAACAATGACCAGCTAGCTAACGCGCTCTCTCTCTCATTGCTTTCTCTCTCTTCTTTCTTTGTTTCTCTCGCTTCATTGAAAAAGTGATCAATCAGACGTTCTTTGCTTTCTCTCTCTAGCTGGTAATGGTGGTTGTGAGAGAGAGAATGAATTAAGAGAGAGAGAGGGGGGGAAATCAATTAGTTATCAGCAACAAGGAGTGGAGAGAGAGAGATTTAGAGACAGAAAATGTTCAGGGTGCACAAGAACAGGCCTGCTAAATCAGGGGAGAGGGTGGATTTCAAGTTCTCCCACTTTAAGGCCCTCCAGGTATTAATTTAATTCCTTCTCTTTAATTGCTTATATTTTGATTAATTTTATTGACAATTTAGTGTAAAATGTAGCATTTATTTCAAGCTCTATAATTGGAAAGTGTAAAATGATCCATTAACAGTAGATTATTGTGTTTGATTTCTATATATGGATTGTACAAGAACCATATTTTGTGCCTTCGGGATAATTATGTTGCCAGACTATGAATCAAGACCGTTGATCGGGTGTGGATTCATGTGTTAATCTTAACCTAATTCGTGCAACGTAACACGTCAGATATCTAGGAATTGTATCATTACGTTGTGTTGTATCGGTTTGTTCTTTGAGTGGATGGAGTTTTTGATGTATTTCTATCAGCAAGTAGATATGAGTTTTTGCTTGCTTACTGATGATGTATGTGGTTGCAGGTCCCCAGAGGATGGGACAAGCTGTTTGTGTCTATCGTCTCTGTAGAAACTGGGAAACCAATTGCGAAATCAAGCAAAGCAGTGGTGCGCAACGGAAACTGTCAATGGACTGAGACTCTCTGCGAATCTATATGGATTTCCCAAGATGAGTCGTCGAAGGAGATGGAAGATTATTTCATCAAGCTTGTTATTTCCATGGTACTGTCATTGTCACTGATTTATCACACTATGCTGTTTTTGACAATTAATTTTCTTTTTTATGTGAATCAATGAGGAATCTGGTTTATCTACTTGCTGATGTGATGACTCATTTCCACAGTCTGATTTTTTTTGTTTTTCTGTTGTTAATTGCTTATCGGTTCTAAATGAAATTTTTATCGTAGGGATCAGCAAGATCCGGTATCCTTGGAGAGGTTTCAGTCAATATGTCGGATTACATAAGTTCAACCTCTTCTGCTCCGGTTTCTCTTCCATTGAAAAAATGCAGTTTCGGGACAATTCTGCAGGTGCGTTTTTACTCTTTTTTTTTGTTATTCATGTTCAGTGGATGTTTGACAAGTTGCACAAAATGTCCTTTTCATTCATTCGGTATGAGAAAGCTGTATGTTGGGTTGAGTCAAAATGCGCTTCTTATTTTTCCAATGTACATGGTATGTGTAATTCATAACAGTCTCTGCCATCTACCTAAATGTTGAAAGTACCTGGATATGTTTCTGCTGAATATGTTTCTGTTATATCTTTAAAAAGCATTGATGCTTATCATCTTGAAAGCATGGTCATGTTTCCTCTCTTTTACTGAATGCAGGAGTTTGATACTTAATTACTTAAATAATTTCTATGAATAATCCTTATCAATTTATACCATATTTGGTGATATGAGGGTACTGACCACATGGCCTGTATGTTACACCTAGAAGGGTGGATGCAAGTGTATATTGAAGTTATTTACATAAGAACATGAATATAAGGATTTGAGTACTTATTTTCTTCACAACATCTCTCTCTCTCTCTCTCTCTCTCTCTCCCCGCTCATTGCACTAGAAATTCACCTCAGAGCTGCCTTTTCAGCGGTGTTTGCTTGTCTTTCTTGTTTGCAGGTAAAAATTAACTGCCTCACACCAAGAAAAAGGCTCAGGTTAGTATTAAATGATTGATTGCGTTGGTCTTTAGATATTTAGTTTTCTACTTGATGGTGAAGACTTTCTGCACTTTTTTCAGTGATGAAGAGTCAAAAGAGACAAGTGCTCATTTGGAAGAAGCAAATGCAAATGGTCATGATGCAGACAGCAAGTCAGATGGATCTTCCTTCGGAAAAGATTTTGGCTTGATCTCAAATCCTGGAGAGCCTGGGAGTCGAGTATGTTTACACTTTTCCATAATAATATTTCTTTCCAATTTACTGTTCAATCACGCCTTTTCATACTCTATAGCACTACCTGCTTCATTTAGTGGCTTTATTGTGTTTGCTTCATTCAATCCAGAGCATGATCTTGGATTTAAGAACGTTCTGTTTGTTGACACATCTATTTAGCTAATGAAGATTTCATCGAAATTTAATTCAGTTGTCTAGTACTCATGTTGCCGATATCTAGACCATTTTAACATTCTATTTTGCATGCTGCAGAATCTGCCGACGGATTAAAATGCTTATGAACAAGCTGTGCACTGGTGTATCCTTACCATGAAACTAATATGCCTTCCTCACTTTTTGTAGGGTAGCAGTTTCTCCACATCAGGTTCACATCGCAGCTATGACTCAGCGGAGGGCTCCATAAGAAGGGATAATATGTCCCCGAGAAGCAACCTTAGTGTTGAAGGCAACCACCTGATAGGAAGACAAGATTCAATCACCTCCCTAATTAGTACAACTCATGGAAACTTTCCTGCTGATATCACTTCTCCATCAAATAATTCATCATTTAATTCCAGGATTAATGGTTTAGGAAATCATTCTCAGAATTCTCGGAAAGATTTTAAAGAATCATCTTTAAGAGCCACTGATTCTTCTAAAAACCTTCTGGATGCGGCAGAAGTTACGATTGAAGAATTACATGCGGAAGCTAAGATGTGGGAGAGGAACGCCAGGAAGCTAATGCTTGATTTGGATATACTGCGGACAGAATTCTCTGATCAGTCCAAAAAGCAGGCAAATATGAATGTGGAGCTTTCAGCAGCATATGCAGAACGCAATGGCTTGAAGAAAGAAGTTGAACACTTGCAATTGTTGCTTGAGAATTCAGTGGTTAAACAAACAGCCAGTGAGGATTTAACTTATCAGGATGAAGGAACGCCAGAGATTGAGAAGGCGTTGCAAAATGAGCTGAAGTTTCAAAAAGAATCGGTTGCCAATCTGGCTCTGCAGTTGGAGAGAAGTCAAGAATCAAATATTGAGCTGGTTTCGATTCTCCAGGAGCTGGAAGAGACAATTGAAAACCAAAAGGTGGAGTTGGAGAATCTTTCAGAACTACAGTCGACATTTGATGATGTGGAAAATTTGATCAAATTAACCAGAGAGGAAAACAGAACTTTAAAGCTTCAGCTGCAACAATTGCAGGAATCAGAGAACAAGTTGCAAGTCACGGTGCAACAGTTTGAACAAACTGTGGAAGAGAAAAACCATGAGATAGAGAATGGATCGAATCTGAACGAACACTTCGTTTTGGACATTGAAACAGAATACAAAAGTAAACTGCTTTTGAAAGAACAAGAAATTGTTAAACTGAAAGCACAGGTATCCGAGTCTCTCAAAGAAAGGCATTATACAGAAATGGATTCCATCACTGTGAGTGGGGGTGAAGCAGATCTGATCAAAGAAATTGAGGTCTTGAAAGAAAAGGTGCAGGAGCTAGAAAGAGATTGTAATGAGCTGACAGAAGAAAACTTAGAGCTCTTGTTCAAGCTTAAGGCAGCGAAGAAAAAATCTTCAGGGGGACACGCACCTGGTGAACTTCCATCCAGTGAGCTTTTATTTGATTCTTTTACCAGCTTTGAGTCCAAAGTAACTGAAAATAAACCCCAAATACAAAATGCGGAGGAGATGCTTAACAAGAAAGTGCTTGGGGAGATTACAAATAATAATGATGTTTCAGTTCAAGTACTTGACAGCTTGAAAATGGAACTAGAAAGTAAAGTCACAGAGCTGGGTAAAGAATTGACAGAGAAGAGGTTCGAAATAGAAAAACTTGAGGCAAACTTGCTAACCAATGAAGAAGAAATCAGTCTTCTAAAGGGGGTCCAGAATGAATTAGAAGCTGAGGTTTCCGATCTTCAGAAGGAAAAAATACAGCTAGAGGAACACATGGAAGTTGTATTAAGGGAAAGCGATATCAGCTCAAAGTGTTTGAATGATTTGCGGCATGAATTAATGGTGCTTAGCAGAAGTGTGAATTCCCATGTTTCCACACATAGGGTACTTGAAAGGAAATCTTCGGAGCTAGAAGCTGATAAATGTGAACTGGACCGTCACATATCAGAGCTTGAACAAGAAAACATACAGTTGTCAGCAAGTGTTTCTGCACTCGAAGCTCAAATAAGATATTTGACAGATGAAAAAGAGGCCAGTCAATTAGAATTAGAGAATTCCCAATCTTATTCTCTGAGTCTCCAAGATGAGATCATTAGATTGAAAACTGAGATGGAGTCTGATAAAGTTGAACTGAAACAGAAATTAAGGGACTTGGAGAGTCAGTGGTCAGAAGCTCGAGATGAATGTGAATTTCTAATAAGGGCAAACCCGGAGCTACAAGCTACTGCTGAGAGCCTCATTGAAGAGCGCAATTCTCTTCAGAATTCAAATGACGAGTTGAGGAAACAAAAGCTGGAGTTGCATCAGCTCTGTTCCGTCTTGGAGGCAAAGTTGAATCAATCGCACAAGAGCTTTACAAATTGCTCCAAAAGAGTTGAAGTGCTGGAACAGGATCTTTCTTTAATGCTGGAAAACATCGCCTCCAAAGAGGAGAGCCTGAATTTAGAATTAGATGCACTTCTTGATGAAAACATGAAATATAAGGAGAAGCTTACATTGGAAGAAAGTTTGTTCAACAAGATGTATTTGGAGAAGACGGTTGAAGTTGAGAGCCTTCAGGAAGAGGTAGACCGACTTACCAAGCTACTTGCTGCAACTCAAGAAGAAAGAGAAGAACTAGCTTCAGATGCCGTCCAGGAAGCATCCAGATTACGAACTGAGAAGGAAATGCTTGAATCTGCCCTTCGAGAGGTTCAATCTAAAGCAATACAGACTGAGGAAGAATTGAATATTATGAGAATAGAAACTGAAGCGAAGCTACAAGGCCTGGTCGCTGAGCTTGCTGCCTCTAAACAAAACCAGGAAGTAACGATGGCTGACCATGAAAGGCTATTGAAGTTGTTGGAGAATTATAAATCGAGTGAAGCAAAACTGAAGACCACTGTAAATGACCTTGAACTAAGGCTTACAGTTTCTGATTATGAACGTCAACAAGTGTTGGAAGAATCTATTAATATGAAGGTTCAGATTGAGAAACTAACTCATTGTCAGGACGAAGTTTTGGCTTTCAACAATGAGCTGGATGCAACCAAGTTTGAGAAAGAAAAATTGGAAGTGTTACTGCATTCAATTTCTGAGGAATGTCGAGATCTGAAGGCAGAGAAAAGTTCATTCCATGAGAAGATCTCAACATTGGAGAAGGCCTTATTTGAATTGGAGGATTGCAAACGTAATAATGTTCGCTTGGAGGAAAAAGTTCTGCAGATGGAAGGTGATCTAACTGCAAAAGAGGCTTTGTGTGCACAGTATGCCGAGCTGAAGAACGAGCTCAACCAGATCAGGAGAGCCAACGAGCAGTATCAGCTGAAAATACAGCTACTTGAGGAGGAGAGAAGTGACTTCCTAAGAAAGTCTCAGGCCCTTGAACAAGAATTGAAACTAACAAGGGAAGAAAAACAGAAACAGAGGGATTCCAGCAGTCCAAAGAGTTCCAGCTCCTCAAAAGGCAGCACCAGAGTTATTCCTGTTGGTGAAGATATGAAGGTGAAAGCAAGTACCATTTTTATGTTATCTGCTCATTAACAGTTGATGTTAAGACTGTAAAGGTATTGACTTCTGACGTTCTTTAATTTTTCTACTAAACAGAAGGAAATGGGGAAGAACAGCATTCCCCGTCATGATTTTAGAAGGAAGCCAATTTTGAAGAATGGTCAGGTGCAAGGACATGCAAGAGATCAGAATTATCCATATAGAAACCAGCATCAAAGAGAGGTTAGATATCCTAAAACTTAATTTGGTCCTGCTTCTACAGCTGATCTTGCAACGATAATATGTTCTCATTTTATTTAAATTGTCGGAGTACAAGAAGACATGCACATAATGTGTATGATTACATGTTTTTGGTTTCATGTAACTCTACAAATCTTATATTCTGTTTTTCTCATTCTAATTTTATTCTCTGCCATTACAGGATGACATTGGAGTCCAAATTCATGATGAAAATCCAAATGACGTTGAAGAACTTGGCTTAAAGATTAAGTTGCTTGAAGATGAACTTGTTAAGGCATTGGAAGTAAATAACACTTACAAAGTTCAGCTTGATAGGTGAGTGTAAGAGGAAACACATTATGCCTTCAAAACACATTAAGTATCATTTGTCTTCTTACGGTAAATCTATTCTCTACAACTCAATCTTAACATATATATGTTATCACCACCGCAGGTACTTGTCTGAGGCCCGACACAGTCAAGCAGATGCTCATCGAAATTCAAAAGCTGAAGAAAGACACGAACGCTCGAGGTCATCTCTAGAGGCAGAACTGAAAGACATTCGTGAGCGCTACTTAGACATGAGCCTGAGATATGCCGAGGTAGAAGCACAGCGCGAGGAGCTTGTGATGAAGCTTAAAACAGCCAAGGGTGGCAAAAGGTGGTTCTGATGAAAGATGATGACTCCATTGCTGTCATTTTCTTGAGTTTACCAATCTCAGGTAGCTTTTTTCCGCACATCTTTGTACATCACAATTTTTCGTCTGCACAAATATTCAAGTGAGTGAGTAGAGGAGAATATACGTCATAGCCAAAGGTGGAAAGTTTCACAAATTGTTAATTACAGGTACAAATTCAAATAATGTGATTATACTTAACTAATGATTTGTACTAATCAACGTTTTGATAATATAATATACCAGATTATTTGCTTGCACATTTTTTTAAATTTTTTAAATTTGGATTGGAAATCTGCCGTGCAAACTTTGGTTAGGCATCAGATAATATTCCTCCAAATCTTTATGGATATCCTATGAATATACAATCCATATGCTAAAACTTAATGTGAATGGGGAAAGGAGTATTGCGCTCTTCATGGTTGTGACTTGTGAGACTGAGAGCACTAAGTTCTTCACCAAATATAAATAGTAAGCAGAACACTTATGTTCTCTCTCTCTCTCTCTCTCTCTCTCTCTCTCTCTCTGCACCTAAATTTGAATTTTCTTTTGCATAGTTTATATTAGATTAATTAGAATATTGCTCGAATAAAAAAAAAACAACACTGGTTGGCTCCTTATAAAAACGGATATGATTATGCACACTCGTTTTCTTCATCTGCAAATGAAATGTGAAAATCTTGCTGCAACATAAAAAATCAGTACAATCAAATGGAACAAATGTATAAATCACTATAGAAATGACAATCACTTTTGAGAGTGGTGGAGGGTATATATGCTATGCTTCAAGTCTGAGTAATAATAAGGGCCGATTGGAAAAGGAAAAGGAAAAGGGAAGTTTCCTCCACAAGGCATTACGCAAGCGATTCAAAGAGTTTCAAACTTTTTAGTGGTTGATAAAACAAGGGAACAGATCACTAAGAGAGCATAAAAATCTCTCACATTATCACTCAACATATTAACCAAACAACACTCTAAAAAAATTATCCTGTTGACTGCATGATGGATCCGCCACTACATCTTCATATGCCGCAATTCCATGTAAACACAACCAAACATTGGTTTGTATGCATGACATTATTGGGTGCCATGTGGCAACCATGGTGTAATCATGCTGAGTTGCAAAGTAATTTTTAAATTGTGACTGTAACTGTAACTATGCCACTAGCATGTGGCATTACCAATTCACTTACGTTATAACACGTTTTATATTTTTTAATTATACCTTAAAGTATAAATATTTTGTGTATGTAGCCCATTTATGCAGTAGCAGATTCATTAGTTTTCATGGTGGGAGCAAGATCAAGAGGCTATCAACACATTGATCGTGAAGAGAAAGGTCTTAAGTATTAATCAGTTACCAAAACTTCTAGTTTCTAATAAGATGTTAAATCTACCTTTAATGCCCAAGCCTGCATACCATTTTCCTTCCTTGCCCTACCTCGCTCTTGATTTGCATATAGAAACAAAACAAAACGAACATCTTCTACTCATTTCCGATCGCTTTCAGTTAGTGTTCATTGCTGGATGATAGCTCATTAAAAGATGATCTAGAAGCTCTCTCTCTCTTGGCAAGCGAAAAGAGATCGTGGAGACAATTTGTGAAGCTACATCAATGAAATGTTGGACAACTGGTGACGCAATAGCCTATGCTTGCCCAAGTGTAGATCAGTCGCTTTTATCTATGTTATAACGCATTAGTGAGGTGTTATGGGCTCGTATGAAAGCGCGTTTAATTGAATGAAGCGTTTTTAAAATGATTTAAAGCACTTTTGGTGAAAGTGTTTTTGGGTTCCAAAAACACTTCAAGTACATTTTGGAAGAAACACCAATTATATGCTTCTAGGAAGCACTTTAAATGCTTTTCCAACATTCACTTGCATTTTTAATAAAAATTGGTTTCAAAATAACTTTCATCAAAAGCGATTTTAGTCATAAAAACATGAACATTCTCCAAGTTATGCATTCACTCATTGAATTATGACTTAGGCTATGACCAATGAATGATGTACATATATCATACTTACATTGTTAATTAGTAAGAGGGTCACTCTCCTACGCACAACAATTTACCACTTGATAGGCCCATGAAATCTTTTAATAGAATCCCATTGCATGGCACTCCCAAAACCTCTCTCTCTAATGCACAAAACAACCAACAAAAATCATATATTGGTTAGCATCGTCAAATTGACATTATAAAATGTGTGCATATATATATATATATATATGTGTGTCTGTGTGTGTGTCTGTGTGTGTGTGTGTGTGTGTGTATTTGTAGGTGAAAATTAGAGAGGAGGAGGTGTCATGCATGGATATCAGCTGTGGAGAGGTGGCACTGCCAATGGCATATCCTTTGGAAGATGCTGAATAAGCAACCTCCATTTCTCACTTTTCCCTACTTTCTTTTTGGTTTTCCTTTAGCACCGAAAAGTCATCACTCCCTTTTATTGCCCTCATGACCAACCCACAATTCCTATAACATCCAGACCAACATTTCTGAGCAAACCCTCCTTTGTACGATTCACTGCAGTTCCAATCCATCATCCGTTTCATTCCCGGCCACCCCCGCCACCAATGGCAGCCAAATGCTTGAACTGAAGTGCGTGGCAAGGGTGGCCTGGTCAGGTCTTAATTTGCTTGTTGGATTGGATGGTGATGTTGTTTGTTTTAGTTAAATAACTTCTGTTAGTTTAGCAAGTCAGTGTGTGTGTTTTAGTTACTTTCCCATTAGCCTGGGCTTCAGCCTTCAAGGCAGAATGGGAGGAATTAATAAAGAATGTTGAAACTAGCTGAATCTCTCCTTCTTGGAAGGTTGGATTCTCTAAAAGGGCAGCTTCAATCCTTTGGCATTTGGCTTCTGCAGCGTCTCTTTTGGCTTTCGCGTGTGTTCGTGATCCAGAAAACTGTCCTACGGGAGGGCCGGTCGGAGTCAGGCGCTGTGTGTTCTTCCTGTTATGGAATTTAAGTGTGTTGTAGTTGTGTGTTTTGTAGGCCTTTGGCCCAAGCTTAAGGTTTGGTGTATGCAGCTGGCCAATGGCTAAGCACGTACTTAACAGTTTCAGTACTTCTCTACATGTTATCAGTAAATTAAGTATGTTGCTTTTATCTGCTGAACTTTATCAGTCATCTGCATGAATGATCTTCTCTTTTTTACCTTTGAATTTTTGTGCTTTGTTGTTGTTGGTTCTTCTTTTCTTGCACCTTATTGTAAGCAATGTTCAGCCTTACTGTCAGATTAACAGCAATGTAGCCAAAATAAACAAGCATCTTTTCATATACCATAATGGAGAAAACTAGTTTGCAAGGATTACACTATGGATAAATTAGGAACCCGTTTGAAAAATATTTAGGACTGTTTGATAACCATTTCGTTTGTTAATTACTTTCAGTTTAAAAATAAAAAATAACAACTGAAAACCAAAAACTCAAAGATACTTTTTCTGAGTTTTCAACATTTGCCTTTTTAGTTTTCAATGAAAATTTAAATGTGAAAGTAATTACTTCAAAAAATGAAAACTAAAAATAAAAAACTGGAAACAAAATAGTTATCAAACAGACTATTAGTTTGTAGTTTTCATTTTTTTGTGTTTTTGAGGCGAGAAAATAAGGGAGAAATGAGGGATGAAGAAGGATATCAAACTGGAGAGTGGGGGAGAAATAAAAGTACTAAATGAGAACAAAATCTAAGGGTGATGCTAGAGAAAACACCATATTTTAGATCATATTTTGTTGATCACATAATGTAGCGGTTGATATTTGGATTCCTTTTTTAAATGATTAAAAATAAATCCAACCATCTACCATTGCATCGTGTGGTTTACAAAATACTCTCCCTAGCATTTAGAAAGGGGAACAACTTAAAATAGTTCGTTGTTTTTAATTTTAATTTTGTGTGTCTATCCTATTATATTCTCTTCCCTCCACTAGTTGATATCTTTTATTTCTCCTGGGTGGGCAAACATACCATGGACCTGGAAGTCAGGGCTGGTTCATGCGTTTCGGGCGTAGATGTAGATCTAAAGTTTAATGGGGCGGGAAGGAGCCTGTCCACGAAACTAGAGGGGCAGAGCGGGTCAAAAAATTTGAAAAAAAGAGCCCTCGGCCCAGAGTTTCCCCTTCCCCCCCCCCCACCTCCATTGTTCGATTCTGGGAAGCTCAACTCCTTGAGTTCAACGGCTCCAGATGATTGGACTTAAAGCACCATGTGAAGGAGTCCTCTTCATTTAAATTCATGATCATCATACAATTACAACCTTATCAGATGATGCAATCTTTAATTAAATGAGAAAGAACAAATAATTTGGAGAGCGAGGACTTACATTGATATGTCCAGCAAATCATGCCTGAGAAGCAAAATGAGATGACCAACAACGGGTCGGATTAAGACCAGTTCTATTCACGAAAACACACGATTCACTCTGCTCTGCTCCGTTATATTTACAAACGGGTTCAGTCCGATCCCCTCAATTTTCGGCACGGGCCCATCCTACTCGTGCCCACCCCTAATTCCTCCGTATATGTCTAACATGAGAATAAATTAAAAGATAAAAGCTAAAAAGTTACCAAGGGACACATAGGATTTCCGTTTAGAAAATTGTTATAGTTACCAACGATAGGTACATTCACATTTCTCACTCAATGCTCGAGTTCGAGTCCTCACAGCTGGTCATTGAGGCTAAACCTACTCATCGGCGCCCAGAGTACGTAGGAAGACTTAAGCATCGGCCTCAGCCTAGAGTAGCGCCCATCTGCATGATCAAGACCACCCAAGATCCCTATTCTGGTACCCCCGAGAGTGAAAGACGAAGAAATTACCCCATTTTACCCTTTCTGTTCAGTAATTTTGAGAGAGTAAATTTGGGAATTAAATCCTAAATTATTTCAACAAATATAGATATTAGTTAGTCATTTTTAAAACACTTCTGCTCAAAAGCACTTTTGTCATAAATTTAGAATCACATTGGAAGTTTCAAAGCAAATGCAATGGCTCCCTAAAAAAAGTACTTGATGTACTTCCTAATAAAATGCGATGGCTTCCTGAATATGCAATTGATTTACTTCTAAAACAGGTGTTTCTTCCAAAAAGTAGTTCAAGTAAAGTTTTGTACCCAAAAACACTTTCAACTATTTTTGCTAATCCCGGTACTGTTCATTTTAACGGAAAACTATATTTTTATACTAAAAAGTCAATCCTATTGCTATTCGCTTTACCCTTTTTTTTTGTTCTTATCGTTAAAACTCAAAATTTTCAAGTCATTTTAATTAGTTTTTCTTTTTAATAGTTGTCCAAACAAGGCCAAAATCTAGTATATATTTTAAGATATTCAAGATATTAATAAACTAAATATAACTAAAAAAATTATAAGGGTGAAAAGAAAACTAGCCTTCACAGAAAATAAAGTTGCCGTAATTCCTTCCCCGTCCCTCTCATATTCCTTTTTATTGTTATTAGTTATTTCTTTTGAGTTGGTCTGGTAAAAACAATCCCTTTATAATGATTAGTATTGGTTCAAGTCATACTTTGCATAGTTCATCATTTTGTTTTTCTTTTACAATCCAATCTTTCGTCCAAAATTATCTTGTTACAAAAATAATTTATTCTATTTTCCAAGTTAATTTTAGTCATTGCCATCATATGAGGATCCTTGTTGTTCAATATTGAGCAAAATTATACTACTGAAAACAAAGTTTTCTAAAGACGCATCTATGCTCTACATGGTTTTTTGCCTTAGATGTGATTGGTTTTGATGACAGTTCTCATTCAAGTGGTGACGGTGATACTCATGATTTAGGATTATAGGTTGTTTTAGGGTTTAGGTTAATTTGATTTTAGTGGGCTTGCCTAGAGCTTAAATTTAAATTTTTGTGAAGTGAACTTTGACACACCCCGACCGGAGTCGAGGTATGCTGGTTATCACGTGAGAGTGACGTAGCCAAGAGTGCAAAGGAAGTAATTAAAAATGTGAACAAATTAAAACCAAAACTAAAACTTATTCAAACTAAAAATAAGTGAGTATGCGGAAGTGGTCAAACCCAAATTACAAACGTTTAGAGCATAGGCAACTTAAAGGTGCAGTTGAATTGACTAAGTACTAAATACACAACTAGAAAGAAGATCCCTACATTAATAAGTGGAATGTCAGAATCCGTTGGGGTAATCCTCATGTGCCACAAAGAAGAACAACTATCTAGTACCTGGAGGGGCGAAAAACAGAAGGGTGAGGGGCCAAAAAAAAGCTTTAGAAATCACATTTATTTTTTCTGAAAGTACTAACCTCTCTTTGTAAAACCTTCAGTTTCCAGAAAATAATACTACGTATATGTATGAAAAACCAATGCACAAAAGCAGTGACAACAAAAGCATGTCATGCCTCGATTTCTCAGCAATAATAAATGTAAGTCAGGTGTGAATCAATCTAAATTATCATGTCAGTTGGAGTCACCTAATGTGACCTGTACGATTGGAACTATTGCTCATCAGTCTATGCTTGCACACGAGTCGAAGTCACCTATTGTGACCTATACGACAGGGCTGGGTGTAAATATATATGCTCTAGTGCTACGATCAAATGAAGGCTAGGGATAAATCGCGGGTCACCTAATGTGACCTGTACGACAAGGCTGGCACCAAACTTGGATCCAGGGCAAGTGTGAGGTGCAGGAGGTGAACATTACGTGAATGAGTGGTCCTGGCTCGAAGCGGGAGCACTAACACCGGGGTGTAGTAATGATGAGCTTTAAATAAATATATGCATGCCAATATAATGCAACCATTTCAATCACATAACAACTCACCTGAACTTACCTGCACTTCCCGTAGGATCATGTGCATACTCATAACTCATAACAATGCAATATTCAAAATACAACACATTTAAACCATGGCATGCTATGCACAATTCAATTTAAAACATTTCTGGAAATAGTAAAGTTTATATATATATATATATATATATATATATATATATATATAAACACACACGAAAACAAATGCCCCCTCACTGATATGTCGAAGGTTCGTACGCCCTAGCCTCGCTTGCTCGCGTTCGTCCTTGGGGTATGTCTCCCCTATATGTGAAACAACTACTTTTAATTAATTAAAATAGCACATAAACCTACAAACACACGAAAATAGCTTAAAACACTATAATAAGTAGTAATTAGCTCACTAAATGCAAGGAAACAACATAGCTAAGTTGCATAAATATGCTTCTGTCACCCACTAACGATACTATTTGTAAAACAAAGTCGTACTTGACTTCAAATGTGATGGTGCAAGTTACAATATTTTCAAAGCATAGGGGGTTAAATTTGAACTTTAACTAGCTCTTATGCATTAGAGAGAGATTACACCACCAATTATAGAGTCAAGTATAACTTTGAGTTTTTATCGATAATAGCCAAAATTTAACACCAAATTTTATAAATGTCATTTTTTAGAAAATCTTTCAAAAAGAACAGAAAATCCACTTAAATAAACTTAAATACCCTCAAAATTAAAACCAAATAAACATAAACTAAAGAATTACGGGTTAACCAAGAACCAAGCACCATAAGCAATAAGATTTGCACAGCCCTCATCCATATCATTGTTCCCAACTTCCTTGTTGTACCCACCACAAGCAAAAGTTGTTGCCAACAATGAAGGTACCACTAAAAGTCCTTCTCATGGGTATAAGATCGTGGGAGCAATCACTCTTTTTCTTCAACTGTCTTCATCCTTGGCTCAACCATATGGAAGTAAATGATCCATATTTGTTCAATGAATTGACCAGATAAAGGCCTAACGCTTTCGAAGCGGCATCCCGAGCAACTGAGCTTCAACGCTAGTAGTAATAATGGGGATCAATCTTGTGGCAAGAGGTAAGAGTAAGAAGATGAAGCACACTGCACCTAGGTTTGATGATATCTATCTCGAGCTTCTCGCCTAGTTGTATCATTTTCTTGTCCAAAGAACTAGAAGCAAGTTGAATGCAATTGTTCTTAAATGTTTGTTCATGAGCAAAGTCAACAAGGCACCACTTTCTCTCTCGAGGTTGATTAAGTACAGGCAAGGAAAGGATAACAAGATTGATGTGGTTGTGGGGACTGTCACTAGCGACATTAGGGTTTATGAAGTTTTACAATTGAAGGTTACAACACTGATGTCCTAAGAATTCTCAGGAAGCAGTGAAGCATTTCTATGTAGATGGTTTTGGATTTTGAGGGCATTTAGGTCTATTTATGTGAGATTTCTGTTATATTTAAAAGTTTTTATAAAAAATGATATTCATGAAATTGAATGTTAATTTTTGACTATTAATGATAAATACTCTATAACTTTTGTATACTTTTAACATAGAGTCACACCCTTAACTCTAGAGTTATATCTAAAGTCAAATATGCCTTTGGATATAGCATCCAAGTCATATACGACTCTAATATTTTCCGGTGAATTGGGACTCATTGGTTAATTTACAGTGAAATATAAACCCCGACTTTTATTTTTGTCAATTAATTTTTCTTTTCTTTTTTGTGGGTTGGCGTGATAAACTAGGAGTGATGGTGTTTTGGTCGTTTCACCTATTCACTGAACTTATTTACGGATCCCACCATTACCCACCCTTCCTGTCGTGCGACTGCTGTCTATCTGATTCTCTCTCCTCTCTCTCCTGGCTGACAGTCGAGTCAGTTCACCTTCCCAATAACGGCGATATCGTGGCCCTCTCCGCCTCCCTCCTATCAAATCTCCATTCGAATTTGCAGAAACAGTAAGTGAAAGTCCCTCGTAAACTCCAATTTATATCCATCCGATCTCAATCTCTCACATTTCTTAGCTATCTCAGAGTCGCAGTTCGAACCGATTTCACTTGCATGGCCGTCATCTGATATATCCGGTACAGTCTTCCTCCCCCAATTTTTGGTTTAGACTCTCGATTTTTAGGGTTTTAGTAATTGGGTTTTGAAATTTTGTTTGATTTTGTGTGCGAATTTTTTTTTTTTTTTGGAGGGTTTTGCAGATTTTGGGGACGATTTGTGGGACTGAACCGGCATGAAGCGGGAATTGGCTTGTGTTTTGGAGGGCCAAACTCCGCTCGCTGATTCAGTGGCTGGGACTCAGGCCGAGTCCCAGACGAGTCCGTGTGTTGTTTATGAGAGACTTAATCGTAAGAGGTTTAAGGGTACTATTGTGAATGGTGTGATTGTTTATACCCGAGAGAGAAGGGCTCGGATCAATGGCGGTAATGGGGTTTCGGAGGGGGCGGAGATAAATGGGCGGAAGGGCTCGGAAAAGCTGAGAATTGAGGAAACCCCTTCTCATCAATTAGTTGAATGTTTAGTTAAAGATGAGTCAAATTGCAATTTGGAGATACCCAGGTGTAGACATGAGGGTGGCAGTGAGCGGTCAGGGCCTTCGTGTGAGGAGCACGATATGGAAGCAGACTTGGTTGAAATTGTAGTTAAAGATGAGCCCAATTATCATGAGGGGGAAACAGATATGAAAGGCGGGGCATTGAGGCGGTTTACTCGATCAGCATTGAGACCCAAGTTTGAGCCTACTGTGGAAAATGCATCAGGGTCTGTTCCTGTTGAAGTGATTTCAAATATAGAGGGGGAAGATACAGTTGGAGTCAGCATGCTGACATCGCCACTGAAGAATAAGCTAGAATTGAAAATGTCAAAGAAGATTGTGGTGGACAGGAAACCTACAACAGTCAAAGAGCTCTTTGACACTGGCTTGGTTGATGGGGTGCAAGTGATTTACATGGGCAGCAAGAAGGTAGATTTAATTCCAAGTTCATATAGATATGCATATTCAATATGTTTAAGATATGTCATGAGCTAAAAGTGGCACATTATAATTTAGGCATTCGGTCTGCGGGGCACAATAGAGGATGGTGGAATTTTGTGTTCATGCATACTGTGCAACGGCGGCAGAGTGAGTAATGTTTGTAACCCTAATATGGTTTAGCATGCTATAAACTGTTTTGGGATTTGGTTTGTGTATTTATTTTAATTTTTTCCCATCAATGTAGGTTATTCCACCGTCCCAATTTGAGATTCATGCTTGTAAAACATACAGACGAGCAGCACAGTATATTTGTTTTGAGAATGGAAGGAGTCTGCTTGATCTCTTGAAGTCGTGCAGAAATGCTTCTTTGCATACATTGGAAACAACAATTCAGAAGTTCATCAGTTCTTCACCCATGGAGAAGTATTTTACTTGTAAAAAATGTAGTGGTAAGTCGTTGTTTTTTTTTTTTTTTTTTTTTTTTTTTGTATTTAGTCAATATTCTTTTGCATTAAGAAATTATAATCGTATTGATTATAGCGATTTTCTAAAAGTTTTCTTATTGCTATTTTTCCCTATCATTTCTAGTGTCTTTTCCTCCATACTGTGCTCTGGGTGATGGATCTCTTTGCTATTCTTGCATGGAGCCGAAGCAGCCTGAGTGCAGCCTAACTCATGAGAGAGGCAATAGTCTCAGGTACGGTATCCTGTCGAGCTACCTCATCCAACTTTGTCATTTTGTCAACTTATGCTCTGGAATATGTTGATTTTGGTTTTCCAGATTGTAGCCTTTGATTTCCCCTTAATTAGCCACTGTTTGATGTAATATATTTTGCTGTTTTGAACCCTTCTAGGATGTATTGGGACATTGGCCATAAAAAGAAAGGGTTTCGTAATTTTATGTTAGTGGGAATCTTATCTGTATCTTGTCTCTTAAGCATCAAGATATTAGTGTCAATTTTTTTTTTGTTCTATAAGGTCAATGATTAGGTAGTATTATATTTTTCTGTTTTTAACGCTTCTAGGACTGTATTGGGACATTGCTAAACTCAGTGTAGTGTATGTTATGCTTGTGTTTCATAGATTCAAATGATTCATGTTTGCTGTCTATAAGGAAGTTGATCGTAACATATTACTGTCCTCAAGTTACTGTTTCATAGGTATTAGTTTGACAATATGTGTTTATTTAGTCCTAGGGTGGGAATTGGTTGAATTCTTTCTGAGATTCTGAGACACTCAAGAGGCTCAAATTTATTGTTTAACAATCTGTCATGATATTTTCCGATTGAAAGAATCTTAAAAAAGGCCTAATTTGTTTGGTGGATCTAATATCTGTGCCATTATACATGGATCAGCTCCGGTGTTTTCACATTTATCGGGATTACAAAGTCTGAGAACATTATATCATAAGTCACAATACTATATATCTGAAACCATATGTAAAGTATAAGAATGTTACTTAGCTGTTGTGTCCTTTCAGTTTTTGTTATAGAGATATGCAAATAACATTTCATATGTTCTTGCATCTGTCTTCTCTCAGATCTTTGATACCTGTTTCAATCTCAAAGTCCTCCAAGAGTGCAATCTCAAAGTCCCGGAAAAGTGCAATCTCAAGGTCCCTGAAAAGTACAATCTCAAAGTCCTCGAAAAGTGCAATCTCAAAACCCTTGAGAAGTGCAATCTCAACTCCCCTGAAAAATGCAGTGTCAAAATCCCCCAAGAGTGCTCCACTCTATTTGTCACTGAAAAAGAAGACCCAGTTGAATACAAGAAAGTATGTCTCTTTCTTTGATGGCGTCCCATATCCTTTTGTTGTATCATTAGTGCATATATTGGATGGATAAGTTATGAAGCACTAAATTAACCAACCTAAATGACTATTTTGTTCTAAATAACAGCTGGATCATTGAAGGGACATAGTTTTGGTTGAGGTTTTAGAAGGTTCTTTTCCTTCCCTTTTTATGCTTCTACCTTCATTGCAGGTCATCAACACCAGTTTTGATCTCAGATCCCTCAAAGAGTTCTTCTCCAGAGAGTTCAGATTATAAGAGTGGATGGAAGATAACACCAAAGTTGGTATCTACTTAGGTTTCCTTTGAATTTACAACTTGAATCAATGATAGACTTATATTTGATATTTTCGTCCTAGTAGTAATCTTTTCTAAAAGCAATCCAAGAAAACTGATTCTTTCCAGAAACCTATTTGATATGTGAATTGTCTAGATAAATAAATAATATACAAACATTATCTGTATGTACTTCATCTTTTTTGACAGGTTGTCTGAATTTTTTACAGATCTTCAAAATCAATTCTAATCTCAAGGTCCCCTAGTACTTCTTCAGTGTATTTTTCTTCGCAGAAGAAAAGTCAGTGGAGGATTACAACAAAGTAGGTTTCCCCTCCTTTTGATCATTATTAAAAAGTTTATGATTTTGGGGAGCATAATCTTGGATGAAGTATTTATTTTCGTTTGTGACATGTGAATAATCTCTTTATTCTATGGTGTATCTTTCTAAAGAGATCAGCGGTTGCATAAGTTGGTTTTCGAGGAAGGTGGATTGCCTGACGGAACAGAAGTAGCATATTATGCACGCGGACAGGTCATTTAGAAAAAGATTGGTCATGTTTACATGCCATTTATGGGCTTATTGAAATATAATAATTTCTTCTGTTGGACAGAAATTGCTAGTTGGTTACAAGAAAGGATTTGGAATATTTTGTTGTTGCTGCAACAGTGAGGTTTGTGTGCTAGCATTTGGAGTTCACTGTACTTGAACTGTATTGGAGCCTTTAACCATTTTATTATCCAAAATCTGCAGGTCAGCCCGTCACAGTTTGAGGCCCATGCAGGTTGGGCCACACGCAGGAAACCGTAAGCTTTTGTGAGATATTCAGTGGCTAACTATGTCACAATTTACCTTAAGCACTTGATAATTCTATGGTTGTGTTTTTTATTTTTATTTTTGGCAGCTATGCATACATTTACACATCTAACGGAGTGTCTCTCCACGAGTTGGCTATATCTTTGTCAAGAGGTCGGAAATATGCAGCCAAGGATAATGATGACTTGTGCATCATTTGTGCCGATGGTGGGAACCTTGTGCTTTGTGATGGATGCCCTAGGGCCTTCCACAGAGGTGAAACAAATAATTTTTTTGGAGTACAATAAAAACTTGTTAATTTCCTACTAATTGACTGTAAAGCTAGTTCAATTTTGTTTTCGTTTTAAAGTAAGACATTTTATTTTCTTTATAAGCTCAATAGGAGATGCTATTTGAATGGATGAGGTCAAGTTGTTACACTGAATCGACTGAAAAGGGCTATTGCTTTATTTGTAAACCTTTGGTTAATTATATTTCAAGTTCATGACGTGGTGACAGAATTTGCATAGAATTTGTTTTATTCGTGCGTTGTCTGTATAGAATATTAAGTTTTTGTAAATGGGTTAAATTGAAATTCATTTCATTTGTATTTGAATCTTGCATTTCAGTTATCGGAGATATGCATTGTATCTGAAAACACTCATTGAGTTCTTTATCTTTTACACTTCTGCAACTGTGTTTGCCTTATATTAGTTTTTGTGTGAATTTTTTGCCTCCTGCAGACTGTGCTTCTCTACCAAGTGTTCCTCGTGGTGACTGGTACTGTAAGTTCTGTCAAAATATGTTTCAAAGAGAAAAGTTTGTGGAACATAATGAAAATGCTGTCGCTGCTGGAAGGATTGATGGAATTGATCCTATAGAACAGATAACCCAAAGATGCATTCGTATTGTCAAAGACATAGAAGCTGAACTAACTGGATGCGTTTTATGTAGGTAATATCAGAAACCTATTTTGTTGAATTCTATGGTCTTAGACATATTCCTGATGCAGTTGTGGCGGATAGCTGTCAATATACTTCTCTTTATGTTGCTTTTATTTTATTGTTGGTTCTGTATGCAGAGGTTATGATTTTAGCAAATCAGGATTTGGTCCACGAACTATTATACTTTGTGATCAGGTATTTTCTTCTTGTTCATGCCATAGTTGGTGCATTTGAAGTGCATGTTACATGAAGCGCTACTTTCGTTTCTATCTAAGTGTCCAAATGGTACTCTTCTCTTATTGTGTGCCAGTGTGAGAAGGAATATCATGTTGGCTGTTTGAAGAAACATAAAATGGCAAATTTAAAGGTGAGTACTTAATTGAAGGACATATTTGACAACTCACATCAGCAAAACCTTCCTTATCCTGTGGCCTTGCAAATTAATTTTCAGTTTAGACTGTTGACGTCACTTGTTTAACAGGAATTGCCAAAAGGGAAGTGGTTTTGTTGCGCAGACTGCAGTAGAATTCATTCTATTTTGCAAAGGTTGCTGACTAGAGGAGCTGAGAAGCTTCCCGACTCTCATTTGGATGTTATAAAGAAGAAGATGGAGGCAAACGGTTTGGAGACTGTCAGTGGGTTTGATGTGAGATGGAGAC